CCGATATTTATATTATATTAGCTGATTTAATATTTATTAGTTTATTTGCTAATACATCGATATATTAAAACAATAAAATATAAAATATTTTTATTTATCGCCTTTTTTTTCGTTTTTTCTTTTCTTTCCCTTTATCTTCATCTTTCTTTTTTCGTTTTCCTTTACCTTTTTTTTGCACTACACCTTCGTCTTCACTTTTACTTTCACCTTTACCTTCACCTTCACCTTTACCCTCACTCTAACTTTCACTTTCATCATCATCTACATGATATACTTGCGGGTCTTCTTCTTCTATATCTACTGGTATTAATTTACCAGTTCTTACTGTAGATGTTTTTGGTTTTGTTGTTGATAAGCCTGTAGTTGCTTCAGCTAATATACTTGCTATTGTTGCTGCTAGTATTCTTGCTGTTGTTGCTGCTGGTATTCTTGCGGTTATTGCTGCTAGTTGCTTGTGGTTGTTATTGCTAGTATACTTGTGGTTATTACTGCTAGTATGCTTGCGGTTGTTGTTGCTGGTATGCTTGCAGTTGTTGCTGCTGTTGTTCTTATGATTGTTGCCACTGTTGTTCTTGTGGTTGTTGCTGGTATGCTTGTAGTTGTTGTTGTCATGGCTTCTTGAAGACTTGGTAGGGAAGAACTTCTTTCTCTTCTTTCTGTTCTGGTTCTTTTTCTTCTTTTATATAATACGACATTATCATCATCATCTACATCGGCTCCTTTTCTTTTACTGCCTTTTTTCATACCAGCCCCTTCCTTACTCTGCTTACGCTTAACTTTTCTTTTTTTTCTTTTCTTCTCTTAGGTCTTCTTCTCCAGTTGAATAATCTGCATCAAATTCTGGTTCAGAAATATTTAACTGGTTTAGTGTATCAGAGAATAGTGCCTAGTTAGGACAATCCCGTGGTGGTGTCTCTTCCTTATCCACATGATCTTCATAGTACCGTTTATATATCCTATTATTTTTTGATTATAGGAACTTCACAAACAGGTCAATATGTTTGTGAAACAACCTTTTTAACTAAATATAATATTAGTGTTAGGAAGATAGCTTATCATTATAATATAACCATACAGCACATACATTATTAAATTAGCCGATATAATACTGATATATAATGCTGGCTAATTTAATAGAAAATAATATACTAACATGCTTTCCACGCCACCACTTGTCTATACATACTAATTTTTTTCACTTTTTCTTCACTTTCTTTTGTTATCTCATCATCATTCACTCATACTTCATTGGAGTGGTAGACATTATCACATTTGCTTCTTGTTAACAACTCCAGATCATCATGCGAATATCGCGCAATTTTTTTATTACCCAATTTAATTTAATATTTATATTATTCAATATTTCACGTTCAATTATAAAAGGAAGATATCTGGTACTTTTCAAGTTGTTTTAGTTCGTGAAAATATTGTTTATTAATTTTAAATTTTTCAAAAATAAAAATAAGAAAAGAAAACGTTTACTGAAAGCCAAAAGTAGCAAGATGGCTAAGAAGAGGAAACATAAAAAGCAGAAGAAGCAATCATGTAAGAATTATTACAAGCTGATAATAAGCCGATATAGTAGAAATAATTTATTAATATATTATAGTAAATGTGGAATTTATCTCTGCAGCAATTGCTGTAGCAATTACTGCACTCCAAAGTAAAGGAAAGGGTAAAGCTAAAGAAAGCAGCCTATCACCATCCGGCTCTAGTAGTGCAAGCACTACTAGTAGCGATAACAAAAAGGGACGAGCAAGTAGTGAAGGCAGTAAAGGTAGAAGTGCTAGCAGTTTGAACACCAGCAGTTCGAGCACCAGCAGTAGTAGTTCTGATGATAGTGGGCCTCTGAAAGTACTAACAAAGGACCAAATGGCCATCTACGTGTAATATATTTTATGATTTATTATAAGAGCTTGGATCTGTTATCTATCTGAAATTAGATTTGGTAAAGTAATCAGTATGATATCGGCTAATTTCAATTATAAAATAGGTAACGAGTCCAAGCCCTAATTATTATTAATATCTGGCTTGTGTTTTTTTTGAATAGCTTTTTTTTTTTAGGACGAAATTAAAATATTGACAGAAGGAGGTAAGTTGTCTGCTCTCAAACCAGACAAGAATAAAACTTGGTCTTCACAGGTGAAGGCCATAAGGCAGAAATTAATTCTGGGAATAATAAAGAAATTGTCTGGTTATAAACAATATTCTGGCGCAATTGAGAAGATATTGTAGCAACATCATAAGACGCAGAAACGTACTGTAATGATAAATGCCAGTCTAACATTAAGGCACTCAATCATACTAGAATGAATAAAAATACAAGGGTAAATAAGGTAAGCATAATATAAAATTAGGCATTATATAAATTATCATTATTATTATAAATTATCATTATTATTATGAATTATCAT